AATTTGAGATGAAAGATCTTGGGAGAACAAAATTCTGTCTTGGTCTTCAAATTGACCATTTGAAAGACGGAATATTCATCCACCAGTCAAATTACACGAAGAAGGTTCTGAAGCGGTTTTATATGGATAAAGCACATCCTCTCACATCCCCGATGGTTGTTCGCTCTCTTAATGTACATGATGACCCGTTCCGACCTCGTGAAGATGATGAAGAAATACTCGGTCCAGGAATACCATACTTAAGTGCTATTGGAGCTTTGATGTATCTAGCAAACAACACTCGGCCAGATATTGCATTCTCAGTGAACTTGTTAGCCAGACACAGCTCGACCCCAAGTAGGAGGCATTGGAATGGCATTAAACACATTTTGCGATATCTCAATGGTACCATCGACCTTGGTTTATTCTACCGCAAAGATGCCAAGGCCACTCTTGTTGGATATGCTGATGCAGGATATTTGTCTGATCCGCAAAAAGAAAAATCTCAAACAGGATATGTGTTTACTTATGGAGATACCGCAATATCATGGAGATCGATGAAACAAACTTTGACTGCCACATCATCAAATCACGCGGAGTTGATAGCTCTCTACGAAACAGGTAGAGAATGTGTATGGTTGCGATCAATGATCCAACATATCCAGAGTGGGTGCGGTATAAAAACAATTACTAGTCATCCGACTCCTATATATGAAGACAATACTGCATGCATTGCTCAAGTGAAAGGAGGTTACATCAAAGGAGACCGAACAAAGCATATATCACCAAAGTTCTTCTCAACACATGATCTCGAGAAAGATGGAAAAGTTGACATGAAGCAAATCAAGTCCAGTGAGAATCTCGCTGATTTATTTACAAAAGTGTTGCCCCCAAAGAAATTTGAAGAACTTGTACACAAGATTGGCATGCGTCGCCTCCGTCAATTATGCTAAGCTGAGGGGGAGAATTTTATGAACTGTACTCTTTTTCCCTTGATCAGGTTTTTATCCCACTGGGTTTTTCCTGACAAGGTTTTTAACGAGGCAGTACATAAAATTAGAATGGGTTACTAAACTATGTCCATTTCACGAAGTACTCATCATTAATTGA